TTGACACTGGTTTCTTCACCTTCGCGTCCAGATAATGCTGATAGAGTGTCGTTAAGACAGTATATCATGGTCTCGTCTCCGTTATCTTTCTCGAAGGATGGTATGTTCTCAGATTGGGTCAGTTGGGGGTTCAAGGGGATTGGGATGTCTGTCGCTTGGGTGACGTATATTTTACCAGATTTTTTTGTGATGGTACCTACTCTGGTATTATGATGAGGCGCTGGAATTGGTGGGAGGTGTGAGACAGGACCGACGGCGGGTCGATCCCCATACATCGGCTGCCCACCCTCAGTTAACTTCCTCGGTGTTACCACTACTCTCTTTAAGTTGTTGGGGACTTTTGTTGCCATATCTCTGCAGAGAATATACTAAATCTTGCATTCTCTTTTATTTTCATGTAGGAACAGCAGTTACATTGGATGGTCAGCAACTATTACTTCGTGCTGTTTTATTGAGCATTGTATGTGATGCTCCGGCAAAATGTCTCGTTCAGAAGTTTTCACAGTTCAATGGATTCTATGGATGTGGTTGCTGCCTTGCCAAAGGATCATCGGTCAAAACAAGTGAGAAAGGATCTATGATGTCATATCCTTATGATGTATCTGAGGAGAATGAAAATTCAGGACATGAGGAACTGAGGACACATGAAACTACGCTACAAAATGCTCGAGATGCGATAATAGAAAACAAACCACAGAAGGGAGTTAAAGGTTTGTCCGTCCTTTGTCACATTCCCTACTTGGATATCATCAGGTCTGTCACGGTTGATTAGTATGATTACATGCACTGTGTTCTGTTGGGTGTTCAGAAGATGCTGCTTCATTTGTGGACTGACAGCAAAAACAAAAATGAACCATTTTACATTGGAGACTACATGCATGTTATTGATGACCGACTGAAGACGCTTACTCCTCCCAACTTAATTAACAGGTCTGCAAGAACTCTGCAGGATTTAAAGCACTGGAAAGCATCAGAGTCGGGTCATTTCTCCTCTTTCACTCTGTAATTTGTTTACATGGACTGATGGATAGTGAATACTACCTGCATTACGTGCTGCTAGTTGAAGCAATATATTTACTTCTTCAGTCAAGTATTTCACCATCCGATTTGACAAGAGCAAGGGTACTTCTTGCCAGCTTTTGTGCACAAATAGATTTCTTGTATAGTCCACGTTATCAGACATACAATGTTCATTGCTTATTGCACCTCACAGAGAAAGTGAAGGAACTGGGTCCACTCTGGTCCCATTCTTGTTTTTTCTATGAAGACCTAAATGGAGACCTCCGTGCATTGTTCCATGGGACACATAAAGTAGAGCTTCAGATAGCATCAGCTGTAGTGATCCATCAGCAGCTGGCTTTGATGAAGGTACCAAAGGGATCAGAAGCAGAAATGCTCTACTTGAAATTCTCAAATAAAATGCCAAGCCAAAATCGGACATTCATAAATGACCACACATTTGCTGTAGGGAGATCAGTAGCATGTGAACTTCTGCCTGGAACAAGAAAGTTAGTCGAATCTAAACTTGGTCCAGTTGCTAATGTCCGCCAGTTCTTCCGTTTATTCTTAAATGGAGTGATGTTTCATTCTCGTATGTACCAGAATGTTACAAAGACAAATAGCTATACTGTAAAATATGCCATAGACATGAACAACAGTCAGTTTGGACAGATACAGGTTTTCTTGAAAGTGGATGAACTTTTGACAGGGAATATAAAATATTTGGCAATGCTGAAAGTAATTCACGCTAAAGACAGTACAACAAAGCTTCCCAGCCACTTTCATGAAGTAAATGTGTTGGATGAAACAAGAATTGTGGACATTGAACAATTGTTGGAAATGTGTTATTACACACATCTGTCTGACAAATGCTTTCTGGGAAAACTTCCAGTACTTTATGAAAACTAGTTTAAAAAGACTAATTTGTCTGCCAGTGCTGCACACTTGACAATGTTACCAGCTGTAGGACATCCTGAAAATTTATAATTGTGTGAATATTTTTTCAATTTACTGATCTAAAACATATTTAATGATTGTTGGGGGTGGATAATCGAAATTCAATTTACAGTACCACTAAAACAGAACAAAATGTCAATAACAAATACGGCTGATAATTTGATAATCACCAGAAGGTAGATTATATAGACTCTATTCCTGTTTAAAAATAAATACCAAAATGGCACTGAACATGTGATGATTTTGTGTACTAAATTTAGTGCTAAATAATAGGGTAGGTTGGTCGGGGGGAAAATGTTTTATACATCTGACCAGGGATAAATTTAGCACTTGATTTCTGTCAAGGAAATGATGAGGGAATCACATGCCAGATAATCTCAATTGTATGTAAAAAAAAATGCTTAGATTTGTTTACAAATAAATCCAATACAAACAAAACTTGACTGCTTTTCTTTCTTATCACCCTGTTATCCCCAGAGAAACAAGCTACATTTACTTAATTAGGGATTGCAAGGGATATCGATATTGACTACATTTTGTTACTTTTAGCATATTTAAAAAGTATTACATTACCGTATTTATTTCCAAAATTATTTTTACGGAAATTAAAGTCTTTGTTATATATATGGAAAGCTCATATTGTAAAAATCATATTCAACATTTTCCTTCTAGCTGTACTAAGTTTTGGAAGTATCTTTGAAGTCCCACTTTGAAACAAAAAATAACTTACTTGTGGAAGTGTCTTTGAGGTCCCCTCTATACTAGTACAACTTAATGAAGTACAAATGAAGTCTCTCTGTAATACAGTTAAGTTTTAGAAGTGTCTTTGAAGTCTCTAGAGAAGTACACATGAAGCCCTCCACATTCAAAGAAGTTCAGTTGTATCTGAGGAGCGCTTTTGAAGTCCCTAAGGGCTTGTTGAAGGAAGTCAGTTTTAAGTCTGGACTTCCAAGGAAGCACCCTTGTGTTCTGTTAAGGAAGTATAGTAAAAGCAGGAGGCTTCACTAGAAGTTTATATGCAAATTATTGAAGTCTAAATGAAGTCTATTTAAAGTATAATTTAAGTTGGGAACTCCCCTGGAGCAGGAGACTGTATTTCTAGCTGGGTGGCTTTCTCTAGATTATTTTTACGTTGGTCTTTTCTTCCTAGTACAGCGACCAGGGGGCGTATTTTGTCCTTTGCTGATTTCCCCATCCTAAACTTTGCAATTATTCCTAGGTCTGCTACCCCTGCTGTTTCGGCGATTATGTGTATGTCTCGCTCATCTAGCTTCTTCCTTTGTGAGCTTTCTTTGCTGATTTCCGTTTTCTCTGGTACTTTAAACATTATGATGTTTTTCTCTTTGTTACGCCTGTCTTCATGTTCCTTGTTTCCTTGGTCTACTAGTCGGTCGATGTCAAATTCAAAATTGGACATGCTTGCTGCCTGTGCCTGTAGTACCTCTTCTTTAATTATAACCTTGTGTTAGTTTCGAGGTCTGATATTTTGTTTTCCAGTGTATTCATTCTGGCATCGTTTGACCTGGTGAATTCTGTTAAGGTAATTCTTATTTCCTCCAATGGTGGCTGTGTCCTGTTACACGGTTTGCATAGGTAGGTCACCCCTAGGCTTGTTGGACTTTTAAGCATAAAGTTGAAAACATCTTTAGGAAGTTTAGTACAGACATTACAATTAGTCAGCTGGCACCCTTTGCATACAAGAAGGTTGTTGACGTTTCCCTCACATTTACTCTGACCTCCCCTTCGTTGTTTCTGTAGCGTTTCCTACCTTGTAACGGTTCGCCGGTATCTTCCAGGCTACTGTATTCTTGTGACGGTTCGACGGTATCTTCCAGGCTACTGTATTCTTCCATATTAATTTTGTCGTACACAGTCTATTTCTAGTTAATTTGGAATATGACAGATTTCTCCTAGACAGTTACACAGTGTTGTTGTATTAGGACCACTACAATCTTCCTCAGCCAAGCTCTACTTAAGATTTCCCCCGGATGGACTCCGTCTGATAGTAGGCTATACATGACCTTTGTTGTTGTGTGGGTTTTGTTACTTTTCCTGCTCTTGAGCATGTCGCAGGAGAAACGTGGCACATTTACACATATCGCTTTGTTAAGGTCTTGTATCTTCTCATTTAAAGATGTTATATTAGATTCCAACACCTTGGTGTTTTCACGGAATGATTCGGAGTCCTGGTGACCTTTGACTTGGTTCCATATGACAATAGAATAATAGCTAGGGGCACTCCAAGAATACGACTTTAACATTCTTCTCAAACCTATGGGTGTATTCCTGTAACCGCTCGTAGTTACTGATAATTTCTGATGAAGAAACTTGACTGTTGAAGTCGATGAATCAACCGCTTTTTTTGGTTAGGTCACATGTACCAGCCCAAATGGCTAGCAGAATACTTCCACACCGCTTGACAAGAGAATTTATCTCCTTCATAGCGTAGTTGATCAGAAAAGTACTATTTTTTCCTGGTTTTACGATCCACACGATGGAATTTTTCGACTCCAGAAGAGGCTACAGATTTGACTCGGTTAGAAGTACATTAGTAGGTCACTGTTCCAGTCGCTGATGTTACTGACTTGGCTAGAGGTGTGTCACAGTGATGAACATGCAATGTAGTGTATTGTAATATAACTGGCTTGGCTTAGGAAATTCCCCTTGATCTCGATTGATAGAGTTCTAGGCTAGTAATCTGTAGTACCAAATTCAACTCCAGGTAGAGGCACAGCTGAAAAGTGACCTCCTTTACATGTTCATAAACATTGTATGGTGACCAGTAAGGGGTCTCACATCAAGTCTCAACTCCTAACCCTAAGGGAACGGGAATGTGATAGCATAGCAAGGATACTTTGTCATTAGTGTCATGGGGGTCCGACGATGAGTAATGGTACGTTAGTTGGTTGATTTATATTATGTTTTTTCTTTCGTGTTACAATCTCCAGGAGAATTCCCATCATGTGCTTACATGATCTGCTAATCTGCAGTTACTCATTATTTTCAATTACAACATTTATTAATGTGTTTTCTTGAAATTGTAGATCAATGGCTACAGAAAGTGTGAATGAGGCAGCTCAAGCCAAAAACAGATTGGCCAAGGAAAAATCACCCTACTTGTTACAGCATGCTTCCAACCCGGTTGACTGGTAAATACCGGCAATCATTTTACTAAGTTTTATCCAATATCTGGGGTTTTAACACAAACACTAATTTGTTTTTGCGAGCTTTCGAAAACGTCAAGCAAAGAGTGCAAAATCATATATGGATTTGTAAAATGCACCTGTCCCCTACAGAACACTTATGAGATATATGTTATAATCTTTTAATACACATACTATATGTTACAATATTGCACTACATCAGCGATATCTGTAGTGTATTGTTGCTTGTTGTATGTGAATTATATTTTGTTATACCTGTATAGTATAATGTTGTTTGCTGTGTCTGTACATTGTATTGTTTGTTGTATCTGTAGTGTGTGTGTAGTGTATTTTTGTTTGTTATATGTGTACTGTAATTTGTTATGTCTATACAGTATAATGATGTTTGCTGTGTCTGTACATTGTATTGTTTATTGTATCTGTAGTGTGTGTAGTGTATTTTTGTTTGTTATATGTGTACTGTAATTTGTTATGCCTATACAGTATAATGATGTTTGCTGTGTCTGTACATTGTATTGTTTATTGTATCTGTAGTGTGTGTAGTGTATTTTTGTTTGTTACATGTGTACTGTAATTTGTTATGTCTTTACAGTATTTTGATGTTTTCTGTGTCTGTACATTGTATTGTTTGTTGTATCTAGTGCGTGTGTAGTGTATTTTTGTTTGTTATATGTGTACTGTAATATGTTATGTCTATACAGTATTTTGATGTTTGCTGTGTTTGTACATTGTATTGTTTGTTGTATCTGTAGTGTGTGTAGTGTATTTTTGTTTGTTATATGTGTATTGTAATTTGTTATGTCTATACAGTATTTGATGTTTGCTGTGTCTGTACATTGTATTGTTGGTTGTATCTGAAGTGTGTGTGTAGTGTATTTTTGTTTGTTATATGTGTACTGTAATTTGTTATGTATATACAGTATAATGATGTTTGCTGTGTCTGTACAGTGTATTGTTTATTGTATCTGTAGTGTGTGTAGTGTATTTTTGTTTGTTATATGTGTATTGTAATTTGTTATGTCTGTACAGTATTTTGATGTTTGCTGTGTCTGTACATTGTATTGTTTGTTGTATCTAGTGCGTGTGTAGTGTATTTTTGTTTGTTATATGTGTACTGTAATATGTTATGTCTATACAGTATTTTGATGTTTGCTGTGTCTGTACATTGTATTGTTGGTTGTATCTGAAGTGTGTGTGTAGTGTATTTTTGTTTGTTATATGTGTACTGTAATTTGTTATGCCTATACAGTATAATGATGTTTGCTGTGTCTGTACAGTGTATTGTTTATTGTATCTGTAGTGTGTGTAGTGTATTTTTGTTTGTTATATGTGTATTGTAATTTGTTATGTCTGTACAGTATTTTGATGTTTGCTGTGTCTGTACATTGTATTTTTTGTTGTATCTGTAGTGTGTGTGTAGTGTATTTTTGTTTGTTATATGTGTATTGTAATTTGTTATGTCTGTACAGTATTTTGATGTTTGCTGTGTCTGTACATTGTATTGTTTGTTGTATCTAGTGTGTGTGTAGTGTATTTTTGTTTGTTATATGTGTATTGTAATTTGTTATGTCTATACAGTATTTTGATGTTTGCTGTGTCTGTAGTGTGTGTGTAGTGTATTTTAGTTTGTTGTATGTGTACTGTAATTTGTTATGTCATTACAGTATTTTGATGTTTGCTGTGTCTGTACATTGTATTTTTTGTTGTATCTGTAGTGTGTGTGTAGTGTGTTTTTGTCTGTTGTATGTGTACTGTAATTTGTTATGTCATTACAGTATTTTGATGTTTGCTGTGTCTGGACATTGTATTGTTGTTGGTTTTTTGTGTATTGTGTTTTGTTATATTCGTACAGTGTGTCTGTACATTGTATTGTTTGTTGTATCTGTAGTGTGGGGGTAGTGTATTTTTGTTTGTTGTATGTGGACTGTAATTTGTTATGTCTTTACAGTATTTTGATGTTTGCTGTGTCTGGACATTGTATTGTTGTTGGTTTTTTGTGTATTGTGTTTTGTTATATTCGTACAGTGTGTCTGTACATTGTATTGTTTGTTGTATCTGAAGTGTGTGTGTAGTGTATTTTTGTTTGTTATATGTGTATTGTAATTTGTTATGTCTATACAGTATTTTGATGTTTGCTGTGTCTGGACATTGTATTGTTGTTGGTTTTTTGTGTATTGTGTTTTGTTATATTCGTACAGTGTGTCTGTACATTGTATTGTTTGTTGTATCTGAAGTGTGTGTGTAGTGTATTTTTGTTTGTTGTATGTGTACTGCAATTTGTTATGTCTATACAGTATTTTGATGTTTGCTGTGTCTGTACATTGTATTGTTGTTGGTTTTATGTGTATTGTGTTTTGTTATATTCGTACAGCATACTGTTGTTTGTATTTTAAAGGTACCCCTGGAGCCAGGAGGCATTTGACAAGGCTGTGTCAGAAGACAAGATGATTTTCCTGTCTGTCGGCTACTCCACATGTCACTGGTGTCATGTGATGGAGCGTGAGTCATTCGAGAATGAAGAAATCGGGAAAATACTTAATGAGAATTATGTGGCTATCAAGGTAGACAGGGAGGAACGACCTGATGTTGACAAAGTGTATATGACTTTTGTACAGGTAAGAACATTGAATGACCTTCATACAGGTGAGATCATTGAATGACTTTGGTACCGGTGAGATCATTGTATAACCTTCATAGAGGTGAAATAATTGAATGACCATGGTACATGTAAATTCATCGTATGACCTCTGTACAGGTAAGATAATTGAATGACCTTTGTACAGGTGAGATCATTGAATGACCTTTGTACTGGTGAGGTAACTGTATGACTTTCGTACTGGTGTGATCATTGAATGACCTTTGTACTGGTGAGATCATTGGATGATCGTTGTACTGGTGAGGTAATGAATGACCTTTGTACTGGTGAGATCATTGAATGACCTTTGTACTGGTGAGATCATTGTATGACCTTTGTACAGGTGAGATCATTGAATGACCTTTGTACATGTGAGGTAATTGTATGACCTTTGTACAGGAGAGAACATTGTATGACCTTTGTACAGGTGAGATCATTGAATGACCTTTGTACAGGTGAGATCATTGAATGACCTTTGTACAGGTGAGATCATTGTATGACCTTTGTACAGGTGAGATCATTGAATGACCTTTGTACAGGTGAGGTAATTGTATGACCTTTGTACAGGTGAGATCATTGAATGACCTTTGTACAGGTGAGGTAATTGTATGACCTTTGTACAGGTGAGATCATTGAATGACCTTTGTACAGGTGAGGTAATTGTATGACCTTTGTACAGGTGAGATCATTGAATGACCTTTGTACAGGTGAGGTAATTGTATGACCTTTGTACAGGTGAGATCATTGAATGACCTTTGTACAGGTGAGGTAATTGTATGACCTTTGTACAGGTGAGATCATTGAATGACCTTTGTACAGGTGAGGTAATTGTATGACCTTTGTACAGGAGAGATCATTGAATGACCTTTGTACAGGTGAGGTAATTGTATGACCTTTGTACAGGAGAGAACATTGTATGACCTTTGTACTGGTGAGATCATTGTATGACCTTTGTACAGGTGAGATCATTGTATGACCTTTGTACAGGTGAGGTAATTGTATGACCTTCGTACAGGAGAGAACATTGTATGACCTTTGTACTGGTGAGATCATTGAATGACCTTTGTACAGGTGAGATCATTGAATGACCTTTGTACAGGTGAGATCATTGAATGACCTTTGAACAGGTGAGATCATTGAATGACCTTTGTACAGGTGAGAACATTGTATGACCTTTGTACTGGTGAGATCATTGTATGACCTGTGTACAGGTGAGATCATTGAATGACCTTTGTACAGGTGAGATCATTGAATGACCTTTGTACTGGTGAGATCATTGAATGACCTTTGTACTGGTGAGATCATTGAATGACCTTTGTACTGGTGAGGTAACTGTATGACTTTCGTACTGGTGTGATCATTGAATGACCTTTGTACTGGTGAGATCATTGGATGATCGTTGTACTGGTGAGGTAATGAATGACCTTTGTACTGGTGAGATCATTGAATGACCTTTGTACTGGTGAGATCATTGTATGACCTTTGTACAGCTGAGACCATCGTATGACCTTTGTACTGTTGAAATCATTGTATGACCTTTGTACAGGTCAGTTAAGGTCATTGTATGACCTTTGTACAGGTCAGGTGAGATCATTGTATGACCTTTTTACAGGTCAGGTGAGATCATTGTATGACCTTTGTACAGGTCAGTTAAGGTCATTGTATGACCTTTGTACAGGTCAGGTGAGATCATTCTATGACCTTTGTACAGGTGAGATCATTGTATGACCTTTGTACAGGTCAGGTGAGATCATTGTATGACCTTTGTACAGGTCAGGTGAGATCATTGTATGACCTTTGTACAGGTCAGGTGAGATCATTGTATGACCTTTGTACAGGTCAGGTGAGATCATTGTATGACCTTTGTACAGGTCAGGTGAGATCATTGTATGACCTATGCATTATTGATGATATTGCAAATGCTTCATAGTGATGAAAATGTTGTTTATGACATGTGGACAGATTTGTGTTAGGATATGAAATGTTACATTGTTACACTGATAACATTGCATTTGAACCTGCAGTGTTCTTGAACACAACTGACATCGGGCAGATTAACATTTGATTAAGTAGAATATAGCATTATTAGTATTAATTATTCTCTACAAAAATGACAACAGTTTGTTCTTTTGGAATGTAACAACCGTGGTGTTATTTTGTATAGATGAGAGTTTAGAGTAACATTTATCGAAACACATTACAAGTGAGGTCAACAGTTTGACCTTGTATAGATTCAAGTACAGTATGACAATTATAAAATGATGACAATGTGAACAGTGTCCTAGTGGATAGTTGTCAGTAGAAGAATCTGTGTGTTTGACTACAGGCCACTAGTGGGGGTGGAGGTTGGCCTATGAGTGTGTGGATGACCCCAGACAGATGTCCTGTGATAGGAGGCACCTACTTTCCACCAGATGACCGATACTTTGGCCGCCCAGGATTCAAAACTTTACTGCTTCACATTGATCGACTGGTGAGTCAGCAATAGAAAAAACTACTGCTTTACATTGCTGAACGGGTGAGTTTTGGTAAACAATGTTACTAGGATTTTGTTTTGAAATAGCTTATTTACCTTAAAATTATGTGTTGAACGGTCTGAAGTAATGTATGATACGTATACTATGTTATAACATAGATCAGTGGAACATCTACCGTTGTTGTTATAAATTTTCACAATATATTTTTTGTTTATAGTAACATATACACTGTCTTAAAACTGTGCAAGTTAGATATGGCATGAAGATCACTACAGGCTACTTATTATTAAATCCTTTATTAGTCCCCTTGTAATTTTATAGGCGAAAGGGGGCATATAGTGTTATCAATGTTTGTCCCATCGTTATTTATTGTCATGACTCTACCAATCTCATTTCTTAACATATTTTCATAAAAGTTTCACAAAGGTCAGGTATTAGAATATCTTAGACGAGTTAATATTTCAGGATCCCAAGGTCAACCCCAAGTCACTGTTGCTATTTATAGGTCAACTACAGGGTCAAGAAGACATTCATGTCTTACAGATGTTTTCTAGTGGGTTTTTTTAAATACAGGGACTGATAATAACCCATTTCAGAGTGTCATAACTTATTTTTGTAAAATTAAGCCTCAGATTTCTTAGTTGTTTTCATAGTCTGAAGGTATAATTAATGAGGGGAAAAAAGAAAGAAAAAATATAACTAAAAATATCTCAAGAAAGTTACAAATATAATTTCCAATTTTCCAATTTTGTTAATATGTTACCCATTTCAGGCTAGAGACTTTTTTCCTAGATTAATAAGTAAAACTCTTTTTAGTGGAAGAATAAACGTCAAGAAGTTATGGATCAAGGGAATTCCATACTGGAGGCACTTTCTCAAGTGAAGGTTGGCGTTAAGGAAGGGGAGGAGTTAGCACTGCCTGGGGTACAGGCAATACACACCTGTTACAGCTTGCTGGACAAGTCTTACGATGATGAGCTTGGGGGATTTGGAAAGGAAGCTCCAAAGTTTCCACAGCCAGGTACTACAGTAACATACCAACCAATGGGACTAACAGGTCTATTAGGACCAGACATATCCACACTACCAAACCAGTGTCCGAGGAGGGTACATGTAAATGAACCAATGCTATCTCTTTACCTCGGGGTATAGTTAATTCAGCTTGTTAATATCTAAAATGCTTATAAATGCATTTATCCTAACAGGTATTTTTTTCTCGGAAGATCCCTGGGCCAAAAGCATTCAATGTTGAATAAATGAAAGATTTGGCATCATAGGGGAAGAAAGACAGGGCTCATAAGGGGAAATAGGGGGAAATCTTGTAAAGTACTGGCAAAGGGATTTTTAAATATATGGCATGGAGCATTCCTGGGCCAAGGAAATCCGCTGCTGTATAAATAGAATGTGAGTGCTGCAGCAGGCCAGCTGATGAGCATACTGTTACTTTACTTTGTGACTACATGTTTAATAAGTGAATAAGAAGTGTGAATTTTTATGTGGTAATTGATCACAAATTTTGTGGAAACAAGGTTGCTATGTGGTGATAAAGTGGATAAAAGTTACACACAAGTAAATAATACACAACTGTTGTATTGGTATTAAACTGTAGGTAAAGTATTAACTTTAATTTACTTTTTGAATTAGTAAGCTGATGTACTTATATAAAATGTACTTATTGATATACTTTCTATATTTACAGTAAATTTGAACTTCATGTTACGTTACTACGCTAACAATTCCTGTAAAGAGGAGGGTCAGAAAGCTCTAGAAGAATCCCTTTATACCTTAACCTGTATGGCTAAGGGAGGCATTTATGACCATGTGTCACAGGTAAGTTTTAAAGGTTAAAAGTCGTTTACTCTAAGCTTCCTGAGCGAGGTATTTTAGCATTTTGCTCAGCTATACCTATAGTTTCTGTATTATCAGACTTTTGTGTCAATTCAATCATTCATTTCAGCCCAGTCAGCAATTCATATAAATTGGCCATTTTCTTCATTTTCATACAATATTTTTTTCCTAAATTATACAGAAACTTGTTTTATATTTACAAGAATTTTTGATTACTTTTAGTGTTTGTTATGGATGTTAAACTTTATACATTTAGTTAAAGTTTTCTTAAAATTGTGCAGGGATTCCACAGATACTCAACTGACAAGTTTTGGCACGTGCCTCACTTTGAAAAGATGCTATATGACCAAGGTCAACTGCTCACCTGCTACAGTGAGGCCTATCAGGTATCTATGGTTATAGTTAGGACTATCATGTATCTGTGGTTACAGTGAGGACTATCAGGTATCTATGGTAACTGTGAGGACTATCAGGTATCTACTTGAATGGTAACAGTGAACCCTACAGGTATCTATGGTTATAGTGAGGACTATCATGTATCTATAGTTACAGTGAGGACTATCATGTATCTATTGTTACAGTGAACCCTACAGGTTTCTATGGTTATAGTGAGGACTATCATGTATCTATAGTTACAGTGAGGACTATCAGGTATCTGGTTACAGTGAGGACTATCAGGTACCTATGGTTACAGTGAGGACTATCAGATATCTACTTGAATGGTAGCAGTGAGGCCTACATGTATCTATGGTTACAGTGAGGACTATCAGGTATCTATGGTTACAGTGAGGACTATTAGGTATCTATGGTTACAGTGAAAACTATCATGTATCTATGGTTACAGTGAGGAATATCAGGTATCTATGGTTACAGTGAGGACTATCAGATATCTACTTGAATGGTAACAGTGAGGCCTACAGGTATCTATGGTTACAGTTAGGACTATCAGGTATCAATGGTTACAATGAGGCCTACATGTATCTATGGTTACAGTGAGGACTATCATGTATCTATGGTTACAGTGAGGCCTACAGGATTCAATGGCTACAGTGAGGACTATCAGGTATCTATGGTTACAGTGAGGACTATCAGGTATCTATGATTACAGTTAGGTATATCAGGTATCTATGGTTACAGTGAGGACTATCAAGTATCTATGGTTACGGTTAGGACTATCATGTATCTATGGTTACAGTCAGGACTACCAGGTATATATGGTTACAGTTAGGACTATCAGGTATCTCCTTGAATGGTAACAGTTAACCCTACAGGTATCTATGGTTACAGTGAGGACTATCAGGTATCTACGGTTACAGTGAGGACTATCATGTATCTATAGTTACAGTGAGGACTATCAGGTATCTATGGATACAGTGAGGACTATCAGGTATCTATGGTCACAGTGAGGACTATCAGGTATCTTTGGTTACAGGGAGGACTATCAGGTATCTATGGGAACAGTGGGTCCTACATGTATCTATGGTTACAGTGAGGACTATCAGTTATCTATGGTTACAGCTAAGACTATCAGGTATCTATGGTTACAGTGAGAACTATCAGGTATCTATGACTATCATGTATCTATGGTTACAGTGAGGACTATCATGTATCTATGGTTACGGTTAGGACTATCAGGTATCTTTGGTTACAGTGAGGGCTATCAGGTATCTATGGTTACAGTGAGGACTAGCAGGTATCTGGTTACAGTGAGGACTATCAGGTATCTACGGTTACAGTGAGGACTATCATGTATCTATAGTTACAGTGAGGACTATCAGGTATCTATGATTACAGTTAGGTATATCAGGTATCTATGGTTACAGTGAGGACTATAGCGGGTCCTACATGTATCTATGGTTACAGTGAGGACTATAAGGTATCTGGTTACAGTGAGGACTATCAGGTATCTATCGTTACAGTTAAGACTATCAGGTATCTATGGTTCCAGTGAGCATACATGTAACTATGGTTACAGGTATATATGGTTACGGTGAGGACTATCAGGTATCTATGGTTACAGCGGGGACTATCAGGTATCTATTGTTACAGTGAGAACTATCAGGTATCTATGACTATCATGTATCTATGGTTACAGTGAGGACTATAAGGTATCTGGTTACAGTGAGGACTATCAGGTATCTACGGTTACAGTGAGGACTATCATGTATCTATGGTTACGGTTAGGACTATCAGGTATCTTTGGTTACAGTGAGGGCTATCAGGTATCTATGGTTACAGTGAGGAACTATCGGGTATCTACATGAATGGCAACAGTGAACCCTACAGGTACTTATGGTACTTGAATGGTAACAGTTAACCCTACAGGTATCTATGGTTACAGTGAGGACTAAGTGAGGACTATCAGGTATCTATGGTTACGGTGAGGACTATCAGGTATCTATGGTTACAGCTAAGACTATCAGGTATCTATGGTTACAGTGAGAACTATCAGGTATCTATGGTTACAGTGAGGAGTATCAGGTATCTATGGTTACAGTGAGGAACTAACGGGTATCTACATGAATGGTAACAGTGAACCCTACAGGTATCTATGGTTATAGTGAGGTTTATCATGTATCTATGGTTACAGTGAACCCTACAGGTATCTATGGTTATCAAGTATCAATGGTTACAATGAGGCCTACATGTATCTATGGTTACAGTGAGGACTATCAGGGATCTATGGTTACAGTGAGGACTATCAGGTATCAATGGTAACAGTGGGTCCTACATGTATCTATAGTTACAGTGAGGACTATCAGGTATCTATGGTTACAGTGAGGACTATCAGGTATCTATGGTTACAGTGAGGAACTATCGGGTATCTACATGAATGGTAACAGTGAACCCTACAGGTACTTATGGTAACAGTAAGGGGTTTCATCTTTATCTGGTTACTGTTAGGGCTGCAATTAAGGTTTCTATGGCTACAGGAAGACCTATTAGGTATATATGGTTGCATTGAGACCTGTTATTAAGGTTACTATGGTAACAGGGAGACTGATCAGGTTTTTATGGGTATATGGAGACCTATTAGTTATACATGGTTACAGTACCTTTCTGGTATCCATGACTACTGTAAACCAAATCAGGTATCTATGGTTACAGTTAGAATTTTCAGGTTTCCTTAGTTATGGCCAGATTTTTATAGTATTATGTGATTTCAAATATTAGGGATCACTTCCAAAACCATCTTATTTATTAGATGAAAAGGTAATTTGTGTACATGTTAAAGATCGTTCTAAGAGTCAAATCAGTCTTGATTTGTTTAACTGTGTCATTGTATTTACAGATAACCAAAGAAGAAAGGTATGCTGAGGTAGCCAGGAACATTATAGAGTATGTTACAAGGGACCTCCAGAGCCCCGTAAGTGTACAACACCTACGTAAACATGTGATTTTAAGCAGAGTTGGTGTTCGGGGAAGACCCCCATACACCAAGGTTGTTATCCAGGTAGTCCAATACATTATTTACAGTACAGCACTTTTAACAAGATTACAATGGGGTGGAATGATTCAAATTGATTGGTGGGGATTCCAGTGTAGTAAGAAATCTTGCAAACTATAACAAGATGTGTTGAAATACGTTTTTGGTGTGTATTGAAGGCAGGAGGATTTTACAGTGCAGAGGATGCAGACTCCTTACCCACAGAGGGAGCCACGGCAAAAAAGGAAGGGGCTTTCTGTGTGTGGACCCAGTCACAGGTAGACAGTCTGTTGGGGGAGGAGGTCAAAGGTCATCCAGGTGTGACCTTGGCTAATGTGTTCTGTCACCATTATGGAGTGAAACCTGAAGGAAACGTTGATCCTTTCCAGGTAAGAAGACCATATATCACAGGTTAGTTATACTCCTATAAACAACAAATTTTAGGGAGTGGTATACTGGTATAACCCTGTCTGTCTGTCTTTGTCTGCAGAAGCAAAATATTCTGACACAGATGTACATACTAAGAACCTCATTTAGTTTTTGGTTCAAAGGTCAAAGTTACTGTAACTCTATACTTTCAGACTTGTAAATCAGTATAACCACAACTCATATATCTTTTCATCTTCTGTTTTTAACCTCACAGACATATCCACCATGCAATGACCATGAACTCAATTGGTTTTGAGATTCTAATGTCAAAGTTCAATGTCACTGATCTTTAAATCATTGATTCATTCCCAACTATAACTCCTGCAGGTTTTTTTTATTATCCATGTAGTCTTTAGTTGAAGAGTGGCTGAAGGGATTTTCAACTTTCCATGGAAACTTCCTGGGCTAAGGGAATTAATTGCTGTGTAACTGAAGGGCATAGGAGCCCAAATGAACAAATATTAACTGATGTTACAAGGACCTTCAATCTGGGTGAAGAGCTCGTTTTGCATGGGGAATTTTTGTGTCAAGGGGATTGAACATTGTATAACATGGAGTGTATGGCTCCCCTTTGGGACACACAAATGGGGCTCAAAAGGGTTAAAGTGTTGAATCTTAAAACTTTCCAGATTTGTTTCTGTATGGGAAATGAGTATGGTTAGAGGTGTCTTAACATATATAAGTTGGGAGCATCCTTGGGCCAAGAGTATATATACTGATACTTACAAATTGGAATATAATTACTGAATATACGAATCAGAATATGGGAACCATAGTTTGAGCTGACCAATCAGAATGTACACTGTATTTTAGGATCCCCATGATGAATTGACCAATCAGAATGTACACTGTATTTTAGGATCCCCATGATGAATTGACCAATCAGAATGTACACTGTATTTTAGGATCCCCATGATGAATTGACCAATCAGAATGTACACTGTATTTTAGGATCCCCATGATGAATTGACCAATCAGAATGTACACTGTATTTTAGGATCCCCATGATGAATTGACCAATCAGAATGTTCTGATAGAACGAGGATCAGTGGTTGACACTGCGAAGGAGTTTGGCCTGACAGAGGATTTGACCCTAGCCCTCCTCAATAAGGGGCGGCACCTGTTGTATACTGCCAGACAAACTCGGCCTAGGCCTCATCTCGACAACAAGATGGTGGCTGCATGGAATGGTACGTTTAATTATTACAACTATGACAAGTCATTTGACCATACTCCCTTGGTTTTGGTTGAGTCATCTACAGGTAAGTCATCAATAGTTACAGATGAGTAAACAATACAGGTGAGCAATCAATAGGAAAGCTCCATATGTAAAACATCACCATAAAAACTAACTAGTGCAGTATTTTCTCAAAATCTTTCTTATGCTTGAAATTAAACCTCAAAGCATCCTATTGAAAGGTCAAAAATCATTTTTATGACTTCTCTTTGAATGAATCTTTGGTAAAAACAAAGTACCAATCAATGACAAAAAATTATAAAAAGAGAAAAAAAATAGTGAATTCACTTGTGCATTTTATATAAGCCAAGTGATATTGTAACAAGGAGCATGGTTACAATATTTGGACTGTGAAGTTATATACATGTATACTAATAAGGAGCATGCCTACAATTCTGGATTGTAAATTAAGGTGTCTGTATATAGGTATGATGATATCTGGACTAGCCAAGGCCGGTCAGGCACTGGGAGAGGAACAGTACACACAACAGGCTGAGCGTGCAGCAGAGTTCCTGCGGCAGTACATGTACAAGTCTGATGTCCTCTTACGCACAACTTACTGTGGCCTTGATGAGGAGATACAGGCAGGGTAGGTCATAGACCCAACTATTAAATTTGGCTGCCAAACTCTTTTCAGTTTTATCCAAGATCATATAAAAGGAAAGTTATCCAGTGTGAAATTTTGTTTTCAGACCTGTTGATATTGAGGGATTCGCAGATGATTATGCCCTAGTGATAAAAGCCTTACTGGATTTGTATGAGACAAACTTTGATACCAAGTGGTTGGAATGGGCAGAACAGCTTCAGGAGAAACAGAACTCATTATTCTGGGACAGTGAGGATGGAGCCTACTTTAACAGTTCTCGGGCAGACAAATCCATTGTACTACGACTAAAGGATGGTAGCTATCCCACCGTTCTGTAATACCTCCCTGACATATTACAAAACCATTGTACTACAACTAAAGGATGTTAGCTATACAACCGTTCTATAGTACCGCACTGACATATTACAGATCCATTGTACTACAACTAAAGGAGGGTAGCTATACAACCGTTCTGTAATACCTCACTCACCTATTGCAACTCCATTGTACTACAACTAAAGGAGGGTAGCTATACCACCGTTCTATAAAACCTCATTGACATATTACAAATCCATGGTACTACAACTAAAGGATGTTAGCTATACAACCGTTCTATGATACCGCACTGACATATTACAGATCCATTGTACTACAACTAGAGGATGGTAGCTATACAACCGTTATATAATACCGCACTGACATATTACAGATCCATTGTACTACAACTAGAGGATGGTAGCTATACAACCGCTCTATAATACCGCACTGACATATTACAGATCCATTGTACTACAACTAGAGGATGGTAGCTATACAACCGCTCTATAATACCGCACTGACATATTACAAATCAATTGTACTACGTCTAACGGATGGTAGCTATACCACCTCACTGACAGATTACAAATCCATTGTACTATGTCTAAAGGATGGTATCTATACCTCCGTTCTGTAATACCTCACTGACATATTGCAAATCCATTGTACTACAACTAATAAAGGATGGTAGCTATACCCCCGTTCTGTAATACCTCACTGACATATTGCAAATCCATTGTACTACAACTAATAAAGGATGGTAGCTATACAACCGTTATATAATACCGCACTGACATAATACAAATCCATTGTACTACATCTAAAGGATGGTAGCTATTCCACCGTTCTGTAATACCTCACTGACATATTACAAATCCATTGTACTACAACTAATAAAGGATGGTAGCTATACCACCGTTCTATAATACCTCATTGACATATTACAAATCCATTGTACTACAACTAAAGGATGGTAGCTATACAACCGTTCTATAATACCGCACTGACATATTACAAATCCATTGTACTACAACTAAAGGAGGGTAGCTATACAACCGTTCTATAATACCGCACTGGCATATTACAAATCCATTGTACTACAACTAAAGGAGGGTAGCTATACAACCGTTCTATAATACCGCACTGACATATTACAAATCAATTGTACTACGTCTAAAGGATGGTAGCTATACCACCGTTCTATAATACCTCGCTGACATATTACAAATCCATTGTACTACGTCTAAAGAATGGTAGCTATACCACCGTTCTGTAATACCTCACTGACATATTACAAATCCATTGTACTGCATCTAAAGGATGGTAGCTATACCACCTCACTGACATAGTACAAATCCATTGTACTACGTCTAAAGGATGGTAGCTATAGCACTGTACTGTAATATCTCACTGACATATTACAAATCCATTGTACTGCATCTAAAGGATGGTAGCTATACCACCTCACTGACATATTAATGGTAGCTATACCACCGTTCTATAATACCGCACTGACATATTACAAATCCACTGTACTACAACTAAAGGATGGTAGCTATACCACTGTTCTGTAATACCTCACTGAAATATTACAAATCCATTGTACTACAACTAAAGGAGGGTAGCTATACAACCGTTCTATAATACCGCACTGGCATATTACAAATCCATTGTACTACAACTAGAGGATGGTAGCTATACAACCGTTCTATAATACAGCACTGACATATTACAAATCCATTGTACTACATCTAAAGGATGGTAGCTATACCACCTCACTGACATATTAATGGTAGCTATACCACCGTTCTATAATACCGCACTGACATATTACAAATCAATTGTACTACGTCTAAAGGATGGTAGCTATACCACCGTTCTATAATACCTCACTGACGTATTACAAATCCATTGTACTACAACTAAAGGATGGCAGCTATACCACTGTTCTGTAATACCTCACTGAAATATTACAAATCCATTGTACTACAACTAAGGGATGGTAGCTATACCACCTCACTGACATAGTACAAATCCATTGTACTACGTCTAAAGGATGGTAGCTATACCACCGTTCTGTAATCCCTCACTGACATATTACAAATCCATTGTACTACGACTAAAGGATGGTAGCTATACCACCGTTCTATAATACCTCGCTGACATATTACAAATCCATTGTACTACGGCTAAAGGATGGTAGCTATACCACCGTTCTATAATCCCTCACTGACATATTACAAATCCATTGTACTGCATCTAAAGGATGGTAGCTATACCACCTCACTGACATATTACAAATCCATTGTACTACGACTAAAGGATGGTAGCTATACCACCGTTCTATAATCCCTCACTGACATATTACAAATCCATTGTACTGCATCTAAAGGATGGTAGCTATACCACCTCACTGACATATTAATGGTAGCTATACCACCGTTCTATAATACCGCACTGACATATTACAAATCAATTGTACTACGTCTAAAGGATGGTAGCTATACCACCGTTCTATAATCCCTCACTGACATATTACAAATCCATTGTACTGCATCTAAAGGATGGTAGCTATACCACCTCACTGACATATTAATGGTAGCTATACCACCGTTCTATAATACCGCACTGACATATTACAAATCAATTGTACTACGTCTAAAGGATGGTAGCTATAGCACTGTACTGTAATATCTCACTGACATATTACAAATCCATTGTACTGCATCTAAAGGATGGTAGCTATACCACCTCACTGACATATTACAAATCCATTGTACTGCATCTAAAGGATGGTAGCTATACCACCTCACTGACATAGTACAAATCCATTGTACTACGTCTAAAGGATGGTAGCTATACCACCGTTCTGTAATAGCTCACTGACATATTACAAATCCATTGTACTACATCTAAAGGATGGTAGCTATACCACCTCACTGACATAGTACAAATCCATTGTACTACGTCTAAAGGATGGTAGCTATAGCACTGTACTGTAATATCTCACTGACATATTACAAATCCATTGTACTGCATCTAAAGGATGGTAGCTATACCACCTCACTGACATATTACAAATCCATTGTACTACATCTAAAGGATGGTAGCTATACCACCTCACTGACATAGTACAAATCCATTGTACTACGTCTAAAGGATGGTAGCTATACCACCGTTCTGTAATCCCTCACTGACATATTACAAATCCATTGTACTACAACCAAAGGATGGTAGCTATACCACTGTTCTGTAATACCTAACTGACATATTACAAATCCATTGTACTACGACTAAAGGATGGTAGCTATACCACCGTTCTGTAATAGCTCACTGACATATTACAAATCCATTGTACTACGTCTAAAGGATGGTAGCTATACCACTGTACTGTAATATCTCACTGACATATTACAAATCCATTGTACTACAACTAAAGGATGGTAATTATACCACCTCACTGACATATTACAAATCCATTGTACTACGACTAAAGGATGGTACAGTAGTTATACCACTGTTCTATAATACCTCACCGACATATTACTAGAGCTGTCCAAATTAATCAGAACAAGAGGCCCATGGGCCTTAACGGTCACCTGATATATTTATACAGAGAGTTGATTTTGTTTTTAACATGAACAGAAATATTATTCAAAGTGACAAAAAACAATAAAACCACCTTATTCAATATCTAGCATACAGATTTAGACTAAAAAGGATTTGAAACTAGCACCTCTGATTCTTAACAAGGAAAATGAAGAAATTTTAGCACACTGACTCCTTTGAGCCCCACCCTACAGCCCTTGGGGGTAGGGCTGGCTCAAAATTTTCAAAGTATCAAACTGTCAATTCAAGGTTATAATTCCAATCAAGTTATTAACATGTAATATTCAAAGTATCATTTG